CAGAACTTGAACTATGTGTTGGCATGGTCTGGACTGTGTTGAGTTTGGGGCCGTAATGTCAGTTTCTAAGGGAGGGGACAGAGGGGGAAAACACATGGGGGTGCTTGTGGAAACGAGACTCTTAGGTCACCGTCTACACTTTACAGATGTGCTAACCCAGGATCACTTACTAGACAGCATATATTTGTCTCTGACTCCCTATGCCACACAGGAGATGACCAGTCAGGATGCTGAGTAACAAAAGAGCAAACTTCAGAAAGAAAACGATATTTTTTACTCATATAGTTAGAGGCTGTGGAGAAGAATACACACATAAGACCTGTGATTCTTTCCAGAACACTGTACAATAAGGAAACTCATTAGAGAAAGTTGTGTCTTAAATCCTGTAGCAGAAGAAGTTTAATGGGAGATAAGGAACAAAAGGAGCCTCATTCTTGTAGACCACACTGAGAGGACATCTAAGTTTTTCAGCAGGTACATGAATGTGTGTGTATGTATGTGTATGTGTGTGTATGTGTGTGTTTATTTTTCGAAAATGGAAATTAAAAAGGATGTATTTAAGCAACTGAGGTTATATGTCTCATACCAAGACATCAGAACAACAACAGCAAAAGAGTCTCATCACATCACCCTAAGTTAAAGTCCACACTGAGAGCATCAAGCAACAGTTCAATATTCAAAGTCTATCTCAAACTGAGAGCAGTTCAGAGCCAGAGGTTATTGTAATATTACTTTTGTAAGGTCACCGAAAGAGTGTACAGTTGCTCACCATTTTATATAGGAAGATTTCTGGTGTACTAGCAGGCATGTTTATAAACATCTTTACTGTGTAACAGAAGGCATATTTATAACATCTGCATTGTGTACTAGCAAGCATGTTTATAAACATGTTCACTGTGTACTAGCAAGCATGTTTATAAACATCTTCACTGTGTAACAGAAGGTATGTTTACAACATCTGCACTGTGTACTAGCAGGCGTGTTTATAAACATGTTCACTGTGCACTTGAAGGTGTGTTTATAAACATGTTCACTGTGCACTAGAAGGTGTGTTTATAAACA